ATTTACATTGTACCAGGCTGCAATTTCACAAGTCATCTCAGCAGGTCCTCACAAATCCCTGTACGGAGATAAAGACACACAGGAGATTATGATTCATATTTCCATCTTACAAATGGAGCCACTGGAGTTCAGAGGGTTCCATGGTTATCAGAGGTCAACCATAAAGTTGACCTTGAAAGACCCAAGTTCTAGGCTGAGAATGTGGCTTAGTGGTAGAGTGTTTGCCTAAAATGCATGAAGCCCTGGGTTCTATTCCTCAGTACCACATAAACAGAAACATCCAGAAGTGGCACTGTGGCTCAAGTGGTAGAGTGATAGCCTTGCGCAAAAAAGAAACTCAGGACAGTGCCCAGGCCCTGAGTTCAAGCCTCAGGACTGGCAAACAAAAAACAAACCAAAAAAACAAAAAAAAGAAAGTCCCAAGTTCTGGTCTTTGATCTTTCTGCCCACTGCATTTCTCCTGTGCTCCATGTTTTCTAACCCACTTGGAGATTCTTACAATGATATTTGCCAACCTGTTGGCTTGAAATAAAAACATCAGCACTATAATGAGTTCCCTAAGAAGGGGGTAGTTTTGGAAAATGCGCAGGTATTAGGTAAAACCTGGACAGTGCTTTGGAAAGTTTCTGTTTGATTCATCTATCTCAATTTATAAAGCCCATTAGGGACTTTCCTTGCCAAAGTTGCTGACAAGGTCTACAGAACTTTCCTCAAAGTGAAGGGGAACTCCTTCCATCTGCAACTAGTGGAGAACTTGGGAGAGCCACTATTCTGCATGAGAACCCAGGCATGGAAGCTGTCAGCTGATCCTAAGATAGGAACTGACAAACAAGGAGATTTAGCTGCTTATTGGAGAAAAGATGACTCAAAGTCCATTTCTACATTCCTCATTTTCTCAAGTGACACTATCCATTGTCATCTGAAAAACAAAGACCACCAATATGTTTCCATTCTTAAAAGAATTCTTTGTGTTGTTCTATAAAGCTTGCCATTTTTTAACTGTTAAAGAAAGAGAATTTCAACACAAATTTAGTATGCTTACTAATGTAATTATATGAGTAAATGTTAGAGTGATAGGTTGGGTTTTTGTTTTGTGCTGGGACTTGAACTCAGGGTCTTACTCTTGTTGCATAAGCATTCTACCACTTGAGCCACTGTGTGAGCCCTTTTTGGGTTGATTATTGCTGTATGCCTAGTCTGTACTGCAATCCTCCTATTTGTATTAATGGTGTTTCTGAAATTACACCACTCTGGACAGAGCCGTTGTAGTCTCATGAACTGTTCTTTGGTCCAGGCTGATATTGAACCACAGTCTTCTGATCTCTGCTTCCCAAGTAACTAGGATTGTAGGATTAAGCCCCCTTGCTTTGGATAAAATTCTTATTAGTGTTGATATTTGACAGGTTTGGAAACTTTTGAAACAACTGTTTTAGTGTGGGACAATAATAGATAGCTAATCATTGGAAAATTTATGATAAAAAAATTTCAGATTGTGAATTTTGTTAAAAGATATATTTTGTCTCAATTGTCTTCCAAAATCTCAACAACTAGACCTCTGTCACTAATTTGTCCACAGCCTGAAAAGTCACTTGGCTTCTCCTAGTTTTTGCTTCCTCATTTCTAAAATGAAGTGCTAACCCCACAGCACTTGTGAGGCTGAGATAGGAAGATGGTAGTTTTGCAGGCCTGTGTTAAATTAGTTCCAGGGTCTGATATAGCAAGTAGTATATACCATTCAATAAATATTTTTTGCACAAAATTATAGTAACTTATAGTTGTGGCACTTTATAATTTATGGTAGACAAGTTTTATAAAAGATGAAATAATCATGAAGTAAACATGCACACACACACATGTGCAGAGATACTAAGAATTAAGTAAAAGTTATATATTCCTTCTAAGAAGGTAGTTAAAAACTGTTAGAGTAACTGCTGCCCTAACTTCACAGTAAAAAGCCAAACTTAAGGAAGAATAATTTTTTAGAATTTTCACTGAGACACTAAGAATTTTCACTGAGACACTATGGCAAAAATGGGATTCATTTCTACATGTTCTGTCTTTACATATTCATGCACACTAAGGAAGGAACTATCCAAGGGAAATAATTTAAAAATCAGATATGTATTTCCATTTCTTTCCTTGGAACATATAGACATGTTAGCAGTAAGACAAATTGATGAAGGGTATTTTGATTTGATGTTATCTCTTAGTGCTCATTAGACCCACTAAAATCACTCATTTTATTCCTGAATTTCCACTCCCCAACAATACTTCATTTTGTAGCCTTTTCTTTTGCAAAGTTTTTGAATTCTCCTTTTCACTCAGCTTCTCTCTTCTCCAATCAAAACAGTCTTTTACTCAGATTAAACTCATTTACCTAAAGGAATGATTAAATGATTATTTCCCAGAAGGCACTGATATTTTAAAAGAAAACCATTTCCTAAATGAATGTCTAATTGGCCAGATTTCAGGCAATTTCACAATCCCACTAGATTTTAGGTGTGTCTCAGATCACTTACAACATTTTCCTTGGTAATTATCTAGTACAGTGATTCCCAAATCTTAAATGCCACAGAATTCTTGCATGAAAGAAAATTCAGACAGCGGTATAGTGTATAGAAAAAATGAAGAGTGAAGGCTCTTGGTTGAAATGGGGATGAGGCTTTTGAAGCTACTCCTCTTGACCTTGTTTCTATCAACTGTTTCCACCCTGGTAAAAAAGCAAGTGCATGTTCTCACACAAATGCACGCATGTAAAGTGAGAAAATGGTTGATATACAGTTTATTCTTGAGGATCCTTAAGAAGCCTGTAGCTATCTACCATAATAATAAATCACAGTCACATTTATTTATTGTTTTGAGACTGTGGCCAGTCAAAGAGTGAACTGTGTAAAAAAATTGTTTTGGCCTATTGTCCTCCAGTTTGCATGCACATTTAGACTTGGATATGGGACATGTTTTATAACTATGTCAACTAGATGTATTCTTTTGGAGAACTGGATTTCCCCCAACCTGGCTTTTCCCTTATTCAAATGTTAGATTTAAACCAACCATCAAAATAATTGCTTTCTCCTTTGAAGCAAGGGTTACAGTGGGATTTTCCCAGCAGAAATGATTTTGAAGATGATCTCCAGAAAGACCATGTTGAGTCTCTTTTCTTTGGACTCTAATTCTGCATTTCTCATGCCACAGGCACCTCAAATCAAATAGCCCCTAAAGATACTGTTACTTTTCTTTCACACTTGTTCCTCTGGTTAAATGGTTCTGCCATCTGCCCGGTCATAAAGCTAAAACCATAAAGTCACCATTAAAACAGCTACTATTAAATTAGTGGGACTCTGAGAGAGGCATAACACTGATCAGGGCTATTTTACTTCTTTACTCTGGATGTTCAGGTGCTAGTAGCCCCACCCTCTTCTAAGTTGCACAATAAAAAACAAAACAAACAAACAAACAAAAACCTTACTACTGTCTGTAGATATTGCCCTAATATTGGTGGAAGCAAAATCAACACCATTTGAGATCCACTGGGGTGATTTACCTCCCTGCTCCTCACAATTCCCACTAGGTAAGCATTGCAACTTTAGGTCATATTGTGCTGATGAGGTAATGGAGTCTTTGAGAAATTCAGAGACTTCTCAGTTATGTGGCCATTATATAGCAGAACTGGTCTCAAAGTACACCAGAAGCTGTCGCTCTTCTCCTTTCTTCCACTGATGATCAATCCTTCCTTGCATTACAGTTTTCATCTATGTTAACCTTTGGGACCTCTGGCCCACTTACTAGAACTCTAACATTTTTGGGTGGCATAGAAACCCTGGTTCCTTGCCACTACCTTCTCCCCTCTGTCTCACACTTGTCCCCCTTCATTTCATTAGCAATCAAACATGTATTTGTCTTTTTTTCTAAACATCAATCATAAAGCAAGACAATCCAGCCCTAGATTGGCTGGGTTTCTACCACACCACAGCACCTTGAGTCAGATCATTTTAAGCCATATATATCTGCCCTAATGTCTCCTTTCTGATGAGCTCTCATGTCTTTTATGGCTCATTCATTTGTGTGTGTGTGTGTGTGTGTGTGTGTGTGTGTGTGTGTGTGTGTGTGTGTGTGTGCGTGCGTGCGCCAACCCTGGGCCTTTAACACAGGACGTTGCGCTTTTGCCTGGCTTTTTCACTCAAGTTTGGTGTTCTACCTCTTTAAGGGTGGCTCTTTTTTCAATGTCTATTCTTGAATTAAGAGTTGTAAGGCTGTATCCATTAGCCTTCCATCCTGCCTGTCATTTTATATACAGCATGTCAGCGTTAGCATGTTTACTTGTCTCTTAGAAGAAGTTCCTTACATACACAGCCAGCCACACACATCAGAATTACCTAGGAACATTTTAAAAATGTGGTGCCACACTCATCCCCAGACCCCACAGTTTCATAAATCCATATTGTTAAAAATCACCATACTGTAGTTAGATGCTTGATCTATTGCTCAACAAGGAAGAATCAACTGTACTGAACCTCAGCTTGCTTCTGTAGTTTTGTGGAAGTTTTTTTTCTTTTGATTTCACTTTCCATTTCCTGCATGGTAACAGTCAAACTTCAGTCATTAATGTAAGCTGTGATATTTTCTTCAGTTGAGTTTAGGCCTAATCTCTGGCACCTCAAAGGAACTCCTCACATTTTCAAACATCCAATAGTCACCTCCAAGTTAGGGATTCTTGTGAACACGTTCTTGTTTTTTCCGGATTTTAGTTATTTTGTGGGTCCTTGTTCACAAGTTGTCTGTGGCAGATCATGTTTCTCCCAGGTGGTTGTGAGGCTTTCAGCCAATTCACCTGTCTCTAGGGGATCCTGTTTCCTTCATTCACCATCCCACCTGGGAATGCAGCAATGACTGTTAACCCTCAGTGGGGTCAGAGGGCACTTGGTGGAATGAATGGGGAAGTGGGGGGGGGGGGGGGGGAAGAGGGCGGGACTCCCTGAAACTGGTTAAGGAGAAATCGAAACTCAGCTGTTAAAAACCGCTGCCCCTGCACTGTGGAATCTCCAGAGTCAGAGCCTCCTGTCCTGAATCCATTCCTCCTGCATTCCTCCTGCAGCGGCCACCACCTGGGACCAAGAGTCTGAACCATGTATACTCACAGCAAGGTGGTAGGCACCAGGTCCAACACTTCTAACGCCTCTGGAAACCCCAGTGAGCAGCATGGGGGGCTGGACCCACTGCAAAGCCAGAAACAGGGTTTGGAGAGGGGCCCCCAGGGCCCTGCACTGAAGAGCTCAGGGCTTGTTGGCCAGAGGAGGTAAGTGTGGAAAAGCTTTTCTGGATGGTAAAGCCCCGTTCTTAAACATTCTCTGGCTTCTTAGAGTTCCCTTGGACTTTGAAACTATAAGGGTGGATGGTTATCAAGAGAATGAAATATTATTTGCCTAAATAAACTCATTCATAAATTCCCTTATGACACCTTTAATCTGCCAGGTTTCAGTTCTTTTTCTTTTTTTAAATGTTCTTGTCAAGGTGATGTACAGAGGGGTTACAGTTGTGTAAGTAAGGTAGTGAGTACATCTCTTGTCCAACTTGTTATCCCCTCCCTTATTTTTCTCCCTTTCCCCCCAGGGTTTCAGTTCTTGACTGAATATCTATGTCCTCACTTTCCAAAACTACTTGTAGTTTTTCTCAGTGGCTACAGGATTGAAAACTTTAGTTATGTGGAACCCAAGTGTTATTTTTTGTTTTTGTTTTCTAATTTTCAGGTGTCTTCAGAATTTATACCCTAACAAATTGTGCAAGGGCCTAGGTACTATCCCTGAGTTGTTGGGGTTTTTTTTTTGTGTGTGTGTTTTGTTTTTTGTTTTTGTTTGTGTGTTTTTTTTCTCAAGGCTACCACTCTACCATTTGAGTTACAGCTCTACTTCCGAGTTTTTAAATAGTCAATTGGTGATAGGAGCCTCCCACTTTCCTTCCTAGAGTTGTTTCAAACCATGATCTTCAGATCTCAGGTCCTGAGTAGATAGAATTGAAGGCTTGAGCTATGGGTCCATCAGACTTTTTTTTTTTTTTTGCTGGTCCCTGGGGCTTGGGACTTGGGCACTGTCCCTGAGCCTTTGTGCTCAAGGCTACTGCTCTACTACTTGAGCTACATTTGCTTTGGTGATAATTGGAGATAAGAGTCTCATGGTCTTTCTTGCCCAAGCTGGCAAAAAATAGCCAGCCTTCTGAGTAAATAGAATATAGGTTTGAGCAACTGAGCTTGGCTGTGTTTGTTTTTGTTATTGTTTGTTTTTAATTTTATTAAGCAGTTGTACAAAGAGGTTGTGAGTAGTACAATGTATCTTGATCTATATCATCCCTTCTTTTGTATGCCCCATTATTCCTCATCTTAACCCTACCGTTTTTTTAGATGTTTTTGGAAGTATCACACCATTTATATTATTGAGGTAGGGTTACCTTTGATGAGTCTGGAAATCAATTAGAAATAGCAGAATTTCTCTGAGAGTAATTGGCTTCTTGCCACAACAGAAGCTCATTAGCTTCAAGTAACCTACATGTCTATAAGCTGCAGCATTTAATAGCAACAGAGGTCACAGACAGATGGCCTCTTGTCTATGAGTGGTTAATGATAAAAAAAAATCATTTACATGATTTTTTCTATTAAGAAGCATCTATTTCCCCAACTATGGTGGCTCATACCTGCAATTCCAGCACTCAAGCCTGAAGCATAAGTATCAAGAGTTTGAAGCTAGCTTGAGAGCTACATAGGAAGACCTCATTTTTTTTTTTTTAAAAAGCATCTATTTAGATGTAGCAAATTGCTTGTATGATCTTACATTCTCATATGCATTAACAGTTGTATCCATCTATCTTTTTATTGGATGGTAATTACTTCAGCTTCCAGCTGGACCAAATTGCTCAGAAAGGTGTGGTTTTCTCATAATTACCCAGGCTTCAATATCTTAAAAACCTCAGTGCATGCTATTTTGTGATTCCGAAGATCTGCAAGTGGAGAAATTCCTAGAGGAATTTCAGTTACCTCCACAAAATGCTTCCCCCCCCCCCCTCATGTGAATCATTTGCAGTAAATATAGTATTAAAAGATTCATTCCTTTTTAAGCATTTAGCATCAAAAATCCTGATGGGAACACTGTGAATGCTTACATTTCCATTATGTGTGTCTACTTCCTTACTTGTCTCCTTCAATGGAAGCAGGAAATCAAGGAGTTGTTGAGTGACAAATAATATCTCGGTGAAAACAAGAGTTAGAGGCTTTATTTATTTTGGCGAGAGAAATCAGAAGTATTTTCTGATAAGATATTTGGAAAATAGGGAGGAAGTGCTTTAATAGTGAGATTTTATTTGTTCATCCACAGTATGTTCCTCCTTATAGGGCAAAGCTGGAATTTACCTTATTTATGGGCAACCTGTTGACTTATTTGGGCAATGGATCCAGTGTGGGGGTCAGAACTATGAACTTTGATGCTGGGGATGACTGAGGTTTGAATTCTGACTATGCTGTCACTTGCTCTCTGAATAAGAAGCTTGTATACTTTATGCCTCAATTTCCTTATTATTAAAATGATATTGTGATAGCCATGAAGAGAATATTCAGTAAACATTGGGAACTAATAGCCTTGAGTTCATTTGACAATGAGTTATTAAAAAGTACTATCTTGCCACCCTAAAAATGATATTTGTACCTTGAAAAACTCATTTACAACACCTGCCTACTCATAAACAAAATATATTAGTAAAAGTGGAGAGTAATCTGTTACCTCTGACACATTAACAGGCAAAGCTTAGTACTTGATAGCATCTGGATTTCAGTAATTATGAGCATTTACTAATTCATATAGACTTTTCCAGCTATTTTTACCCAGGGATTTTTATTGAGTCTCTAAATACTAGTAATTATCATCACAAATTTAAAGAAAAATAAATCTTAAACAGAGTTGTAATCCAGAGATCTTTTATCCTCTTTTTCATTTCTGCTTTTTTTGAAAAATCTTTCATTTATATCATAACTAGGTAGATAGGAGCAAAGGCATGGATTTTTACTAGATAAAAACTATTATTAAAAACTATTGCCTAGGGGAAATAGGCTCTTGCCTATGGTACTGATAAAAAAGGTTTACTTCATCCAGATACCTGGCTATTATCATTCCATAATGTGGTCTTTTAGTTGGATGCTGTTTGAAGGAAATAGAAAAACAAATTCTGAAAATGAACCCATAATATAGAATCTTACTATACAGTTTACTTTGTAATGTTTACTTTGTAATTTAATTTATGTATAAATTTTTATAACCTTAACATTTGTGGCTTTCTTTTTTAAATTTTTTTTTATTTTATTGTGAAAATACTGTACAGAGGGGTTACAATTACATGGGCAAGATGAGTACATTTCTTTTTTAATTTATTTTAATTTTTTTTGTGAACATTCTGTACAGAGGGGTTACAATTACATGGGCAGGATAATGCGTACATTTCTTATCAAGCATTGCAGCCTCCTCCTTTGTTTACCCTTCACATCCCTTCCCAGCCTACCCCCCTCCTCACCTAATCCTCTCCCCCCCCCCACCAACGATGTAAAGCTCGTTTTGGAAATGACAACTAGTGCTTCTCATTGTTGCAACAGGTCCACCTGTATCCTTAAACGACTTGATAAGAAATGTACTCATTAAAACAAGTCTTTAATGAGTACATTTCTTATCAAGCATTGTAGCCTCCTCCTTTGTTTCCTCTTTATGTCCCTTCCAATCCTCCCCCCCAATCCTCCTCCACTCTCCACACCATCAAAGTTGTAAAGTTCGTTTTGACATAACAACTTGTACGTCTCATTGTTGCAATGAGTCCACCTGTATCCGTATTTAAATGATTTATTTTTTCCCTTCCCCTCCACAAATTATACCGAGATCTAATACAGTGAAAGCAGGGGTTATATCGTGGGGGAGGGACACACAAAGCAACAAAGAAATCATCTTATAAATGTGTTAGAAACAATTGCATGAAAGGAAAAAAAAACATTTGAATACATATCTTAGGGTTCATTTCCCTAACATCAACTTATCGACCTTTTCTGCTTGTCTCAGACATATACTAGTTATTGCAAATAAGGGAAACCATTGGACCTGTGTTTCTTTGGGCCTGGCTTACTTCACTTAATATAATTTTTTTCAAGTCTTTCCATTTCCTAACAAATGGGGCAATGTCATTCTTCCTGATGGAGGCAGAATTCCATTGTGTATATATATACCACATTTTTTGATCCATTCATCTACTGAGGGGCATCTGGGTTGGTTCCATATCTTAGCTGCAATAAACATAGTCGTGCTGGTAGCTTTAGTGTGGTCTTGTTTGTAAACATTTGTGTAAATGCCCAAAAGTGGGATTGCTGGGTCATAGGGGAGCCCTATGTGGAGTCTTTTGAGGAACCTCCATACTGCTTTCCAAAGTGGTTGAACAAGTTTACATTCCCACCAACAATGTAGTAAGGTTCCCTTCTGTCCACATCCCCTCCAGCATCTGTTGTTATTAGAGTTCTTGATTTTTGCCATTCTAACTGGGGTGAGGTGATATCTAATGTTGTTTTGATTTGCATTTCTTTTATGGCTAGAGAGGTTGAGCATTTCTTCATGTGTCTATTGGCCATCCTTCTTTCCTCTTCAGAGAAGTTTCTTTTTAAGTCTTTAGCCCACTTACTTATTGGGCAGTTGTTTCTTTGAAGATTTGTTGTTGGGGGATTTAATTTTTTGAGTTCCAGGTATATTTTAGATATGAGACCCTTGTCCTTTGTATGGCTAGTGAAGATCTTCTCCCAATCCATGGGCTTTCTATTGATCTTGCTAGCTATGTCCTTTGCCATGCAGAAGCTCTGCAATTTCATGCAATCCCATTTGTCCAACCTTTCTTTGATTTGTTGTGTTTCTGGGTGTGCCAAGGAGACCTAGGGTTTCTCCTATTCCATCCTGTAATGTTTTCAGAGTGTCTACTTTGACTCCAAGGTCTTTGATCTATTTTGAGTTGATGCTGGTGATTCTGGGTGATATATAAGGATCTAGCTTTAGTTTTCTACAAGTAGTTAACCAATTTTGCCAGCACCATTTACTGAAGAGGCTGTCTTTCTTCCATTCTACTTTTTTACCTTGAAGAATAAGGTTGGAATATTGATAGGTATCTCACTGAATTTGTAGATAGCCTTGGGAAGTATTGCCATTTTCACGATGTTGATCTTTCTAATCCAGGAGCATGGGAGTTTTTTGCCACTTTCCAAGTTCTGTTTTGATTTCCTTTTTCAAGTTTTTAAAG